CGGTAGCTACGAGGAAGGTTTGTACCAAGCAGCCATGAATAACCCTCCAACTTCTGTCGTTCCAGACTCGTACGCCAAGCTCGCGTACGAACCTGCTGGCAGTCACGCTGACGAAGGTGCCAACATGTTCAAGTACGGGGACTACAACTACCTCTTCTACTCCAACGGAGTCTGCTGTGGCTTTGATACGAAGAAACCAGCAGCTGGAGAGGAGTACAAGATCAAGGTCTGCCGTTCTAAGTCTGGCGTAATGGACTTCCGTGACGCGGATGGCAAGCTTTGTACGGAGGGAGGCGGCACAATTGTGCTCGAGTCTCACGACAACGTATACGGACCCGGTGGCCAAGGTGTGTACGACGATCCGACTTATGGTCCCATTATCTACTACCACTACGTCGACACGACTATCGGGTATGCTGATGGCCAGAAGCAGTTTGGCTGGAACAAGCTCGATTTCTCAAGTGGTTGGCCAGTCACAACGGCTGCTGACACTACAGCTCAGCCGGCAACTACTCAAACGACCCAGGAAAACTAATCGGGAGGCTTCAGCTAGACAGCCCAAGCCACCGAATGTGCAGGTGCTGGTTGTTAACTTGCGTAGATATAAATCAATGTTACTCGGTTTCTATGCCGTTGAAGTTTATTATCTCATATTAAGTACGATAACTGCTTAAAACGTGGTCAAGCCACGACGCCATTGCTCCACGTAGAACGCTCGTAGATCTGCGAATCGTAGCCAGATACAATGCATGATCCACTTGCAGCCAGCAGCTGCAGGTCCCATGGAGTAGAGATCACTACCTATGTTTAGGATAGGATGCCTAACATTACTCCTTCGGAACAAAAAAAAACATCCGAATTTAAGTTTAGCCATAATCCGGAAATTGCATTTGGAAGTTCCTTCGAAACAAAAAACGATATTTAAAATTTCACGAAATTAGAAGTTGAATAAAATTCAGGTTTGACATTTTTAAAGTGTTCTTGATTCTATCCAAAATTCGGGAAGCCACCATGTTGACTGATATTAGTTAATCTTACCAAGCGACTAAATTCCCGCTACAGACGACATGATTGCGGGTGTAGTGCAAACCGGTGATGAATGTGTTTGGCTGGAATGGGAACTAAATTTTTGTGCGCCTTGGAGCTTCTTTAACCATTGGCGAAGCTGGTCTTTATGTTCGCACTGGAACAAGTAGAGCCGGCTTAAGTGGTGGATAGCAAGGCAGCAATGCTCTGCATGGCGAGAGTGCGCGCTTGCTCCTTCGTCTCCGTCGTGCTGCAACGTCAAATTGAGTTTCTTGGTCTTGTTAACTCGATGAGCTGAAGATTTAATCGGCTCAACTCGAATATCCGTGGCATGTGCCATATCCACCACTTCAGACGCTAAAGTGACGCCAAAATGACGGTAGATTCGCAGAATTCCATCAGCTAGAACACACCAGCGCGTGCTTGTGTGGAAACTTTCGAGTGTCGACTTCATATTGAGATATCCGCAATTCGAATGCTGTTCGCTAAATGGTCGAATGTGAACATTCACAAGCCAACGAGGTCTCCCCTTAGAGCGCGTGATCTCCTCACTTTTTTCATCAGCATGATCAGTAGACTTTGGGGCGCTCCCTCTAGCATCGGCGAGTGGAAGCGGTTGGTGTTGAGCCGTTTTGGGGAATATTTCGACATGATCCACTAATTCCAGCTCCGTCACCAGACCAGATCGCCAACAATCCCCCATATCACTCAGTCGCAGCACTGCTTGACCCAGGAAAAAGGTGTTGGGTCCGTTCTTACTAAGCAAAGTAAAGCAAAACGTGGCATACCCATCGGCCCCAGGAACAAACATTTTCTCTGGCCACACAATGTCCAGCTCTGTTCCATTGAGAGCCATCGGCTTTCGTACACTGGTCTCGAAGCAGAAGAGTTGCGTGTCTTCGTCATTCCCAGCAACTACAGTCACGTACAGGAACGGATTGCACGAGAACCCGTTGCTCAGTCGCAGTTCTTCAAAGGATGACGAGCTGCTAATCCCTAGCCCAAGGCCTTCCGACGGTACACTCATACCCGACGGGATAATTGCACGGACGCGAAGCGCATCGATAGCATAGGGTTTCAATCGAATTCGCTGCAATCTTTCAAAGCGCTGACGAGCTTGTCGTCCTCGTAGTGATGCTTGAACTCGGATGATCGCAGCTTTCTTGTCAGCAAATGAAGTGGCGTCCTTCATCATACGCACATAAGCAGTGAGAGCATTTGCCAGAACTTGACGTTGAGCAGCTAAATGAGCAGCTCGAACTTCTGCTGATCTCTCGTCATATTCGGTCTTCAAATCGGATTGACAATGAGAGCACAGCCAGGACGAAAATGAGGAATTTGTTGTGGCTGTATGCGGAACTACAAACGTGAGCTTTGTCTTTCTGTCCTCTTGGTCGTAAGCCGCTAAGTAACAGCGAGCATGAGCCACGACATTGCACGTAGCACATTCAAGCTCTCCCCCCGCGAAGTTGCAGTATTCACACCGAGAAGCACGTTGATGTCTCGTCCCATCGAAGAGGAAGCGTGTCGGAACAACCTTAGGCGGTGGCTCTAACGCAGAAGCTTTAATTTGCTCGCGATGGTTCTTTCTAACCACAACCTTTGTCACGTCAGCGAGGCTGCTCCGCCGGTGAAGTAAGATGGGATCACTGTCCTGTCGACTCAGAAGGGATACCTTCGAGTGTTTCATAGCAATATTGTTCCCAGAAACGGTATTCATCTCGTCCAGCACGGTTTGCAACGACTTTCGGTGTGGTTTTCGGTATAACGCAGTGTCTTCAAACCGTGCAAGAAGCGGTGCCACATCACCACGCACGAATTCAGCTTTCGATTGACTCTGAAACTTGCTAGACCAATAGGATGAAGCGCGGTGTGAGCCATCGTGTTTTGAGGCTGGGTGCTGTTGCTCTAGTGGACTGGAAATGCTCTTTCGTGACTGTGATATATCTCCACCGAGTTGAAGCGCAGGTGTTGAAAAAGGCGACGCGCTCTGGACGTATAGTTTGGCATTTGATTCAATAGAGAATGGTATGTGCACTGATGAGCTGTCAACACTGCTCCTTATTGGAGGTAAACGTGACGAGGAGCTGGATCCACGCATGTAAAAGTCTTGCAACTCACTGCTCATGCACAATTACCACACATTCAGCTCTACAGCCCCCCAAAATACCCAATGTAAATTTAAAATTCACGGTCCGTAATAATGAACAGTGGTGAAAGTTCACACAAACGCGTGAAACCCCATCGAACCTTGCCATCGATCGGACAAGATGTATTATTTCTATCTGTCGTCGCCAATGAACTTCAGACCATTGAGTATCCATCTAGCTACTCAGAACTTGAAAGTCGCCCAACACGAGCGACGAACCGAAATTTAACTGAGATTTAAGCGTGGGCAACGCGAGGAAAAACGAAGAAGTCTTGCTCTGGAAACGAAACGAATATAAGCGCTGCTGACTTCAGGGAGTGTGAGTCAAATGCGGTACTAACATTAGTACAACGAGCGTGCCATAAACAGGAGCAGTAATCAGTCAAGTCAAGCTTTCATGATAACGACAAGATAGGCATATCACCAGGGTTTTTACGGTATTACATGTAACCAAAGACACCGAGGCGGTTGTACTGCCATTGACTCCAAGAATTGACAGTCATTGCTTCTAAAAGTACCGACTTCCTGACCTTGTTCGTGATACGACCAGGGCATGGAGGGTATCCTCACTTATTCATTCCAAGCTTAACAATGCAGCCTAAAAGCTGACATACTTACAAGCGATACCAGCACCGATTTTGTTTTGGAGAGGGTGGACTCACATGTATGCGCGGTGGTACTACCGGCTATGCTATGATCCTGCCGTACCATAAACATCTAGCCTTTCCTCATTATCTGCCGCCGCAAAACATAGCACTACTGCATGGCATGCGCTCTCTCGTCAATTTGAGCAGAATATGTTGTTGCACGGAGGAGTTCTGTCTAACACTCCAAACGAACTTACTTTCCAATATTCCTACTCGGATTCACAACTATCGCAATGAAACTTCACGCCCTCGTCTTCCTCGTATTTACACTCGGTCATGTTAAAGCTGGCTGGATAGACCACGACCAGGTTCAACCTTTTGCGCAGCCTGAACCTGTCACCATTTCGGAGAAGGCCGCCGTCAAGTTCAAACCTCAGCTTCACATCACGAACGGATGCCATCCGTATCCCGCTGTCAACGCTGCTGGTGACACAGGTGGCGGCCTCAAGCCCACAGGAGCCCCAAGTGGATCATGCAAAGGGTCTGGCTACGGCTCACAAGTCTACGGACGTTCTACGTGGTTCAACGGCGTCTGGGCCATCATGTATTCATGGTATTTCCCGAAAGATTCGCCGTCGTCATCGCTTGGCCACCGCCACGACTGGGAGAACGTTGTCATCTGGATCAACAACCCCGACGTCCCAAACCCAGTTATACTGGCCATTTGCCCATCAGCTCACGGTGGGTATTCCAGGTATGCCCCGCCCGACGCTGATACCATCGACGGTACGAGCGCCAAGGTGAATTACGAAAGTCACTGGCCGATTAACCACGCGACCGATACAACATCAGAAGGTGGTGACTTCCAAGACCTCATAATGTGGGATCAACTAACAGATGCGGCTCGTACTGCCCTGCAAGACACGGACTTTGGAGACGCGAATGTGCCCATGAAAGAAGGTAGCTTTCTCTCAAATCTTGAAAAAGCGTGGCCATTCTAATGAAGGTCATACTGTAGCCGTTGAATGAACCCCGTCAATTTATCGCTTTATTAAGTGGGATAAATCGACTAGGTTGTGCGTTGTTTTCCGACATAGGGATCCAATTTTAATTTACTTGTTATCAAATGAAACGTCATTGAGATCCCAACATCCAGCATTTTCGATATGCAGCTCTAATTTCGGACTCTAGAATTTCTGAGGGCTGGAATCCCGAAAATTGGAGCGAATCGATACATTAAATTCGGCTCAATTATTTTTGGTCTGTGGGAGGGTGGTAAAGGCGCCTTATGGATCTCGCAGTGTCATTACCAGCGACACAGTGATCAAGACATTATGTCCTTATAAATTGACGTGCTCCTGTGTCAACGTCGCTATGTCAGCACATGCCAGTTTTAATACCACCGTTATTAACATTGACAACCAGAAATCCAGCACCTTACACCAGTCTCATAATCTGGAATAGAATGCCGTTCTAAATTGATGCCGTTCGTTGATATCGTTGCCGGCGGAAACACTTAGCAGTGTGGAATCGTCTCGCAACCTTAGTAGTAAGTAGTACTGCTGAGGCACGAACTACCCATGTATTCACCACGTAGCATTTTGCTTAGATAGCACGAACCACTTCAAACGAACTGGCTGAAAGGAAAACAGTGCGTTCGAATGGCACTGCAACATCCAGACTCTGGCTCGGAAAAAGGCAACTCTGTTCAAGGCTCAAGGATAAACGGACATAAGAGACCAGTTCCGAGTTTGGTCAGTCAGATATTGTGGTTCTGCAGCCAGCATCTGTGGGTCGGCCAGCACACACCATGTGGTCGAATCGGCCGAGTTGCCTCATTCGATCAACAAACTTCAACTATCACTCTACAGCGGCGTAAACGGCGACAACACGATAAAAGTGGCGAGAGCGATACATCGTATACATGTACGTGTAGTTCATTCAGTGTGGCAATAGAGGACTGCACTGGTTATCTCATGAATGTAGCGGGCTTATCTGTGCATTTCACCGTCGACAAGCGATGGAAAAAAGCGCTGAAATTCGTGTTGGCAATAACAATTTGCGTGTTGCATTTTTCACGCACTTTCCAAAAAGAAAAAAGAAAAACTTTATCGCCAAGCACGAAGGCGCTGGAATGAATATAAGTCGATCTATCTTCGATGCGGCGTCGACGATGCCAATTCAATATCGGGCCAAATAACACCGGTATGCTGCCTTACCAAGCCGGCAAAGGCATAATCAACTGTCCGATGTCACCTTTCCTATTGTCAAATTTACCTTTGATTGGCCAAACCAGCACAGATTATGGCGATTGTGTCATCATTCGCCTTCAATTCTCGACGTAGCATCATCACATCCCTGGATATTGCAGCCTTGCAGCGAAAGTGTACGCCACAAGTATTATTCAATTGTCTGCACGCACAACTCGACGTCGTTACGTTCCGCCTTGCGTTAATCACTGCGTCAGTGAGCTCGAGCTTCCTGCAGTTAATTGAAGCAAGGGGTGCTCCAAGCAACTGTCACTTTGATTTTTGACGCCCCTTGGCGGACCAATCGCGTGTCAGTTCTCTCCCGCACAAGTCGAAATATCACATTTTCGGCGACTCAGATCTTTAGGCTCAGACCTATAAATACTTCCGCAACAGTACGATCAGGCGCACTCTCGCTGTCTCTCAGTTCCGACGTCAATGGTGGGCGTGGCGCGCTTCCTGAGCGCCGCAATAGGCGGCGACGACGACGCTGACAATGTACAGGGCAAGTGGATCGGCCTGGCTATTGTGATCACCTCGGCGGTGCTCTCCAATCTCGGCGTGAACGTGCAGAAGCTCTCCCACGTGCGGGTACGAACCTCTCCCTCTTTATGCTGATGCGCATTGAGTGCAGACTCGAGAAACCTGATAATGCGTCAAGTGCGCACTCGACATACGTGATACTGGTCGAGTGCGCACTCGATGCAATCTGTGATATTCAGGTTAAATATTCGGATACTTACGCAGAATCTCTTATCTTGTACCAGGAGGAAGAGAAGCCTGTATTCGAGCGACAGACCTACTACACGCGACCGCTGTGGCTCATCGGCCTGGTGTTGGTCGTTCTAGGCGCCGTGGGCGACTTCGAGGCATTGGGCTTCGCTCCTCAGGCGCTAGTGGCGTCTGTAGGTGGCGGCTTCACTGTACTAGCCAACGTGTTCTTCGCGCATCTGTGGCTGGGGCAGATCTTGACCAAAACGGACGTGCTGGGCACACTTCTCATCATCATCGGCGTCGTGCTCAGCACTGTGGCCAACGAACCGGACGAGCAAATGTCGCTGGTGGAGTTGGAGAAGCAGTTCTTCCAGTTGGGCTTCCTCATCTACTTGGGCGTTATGGTGAGCGCCTGGCAGATACAGGATACGATATACAGGTTATGAGGGCTAAACGGACATTATGTTGCAACTGCAGACGGTCGTGTTGGGCGGCATTTTCGGGCAGATTGAAGCGATTTTGAGGCTTCCAAGAGCGCTGAACGAGAACAAGTACAGATTGCTGCCCTTCATGTACGCTACAGCGTCAGGTATCTTCGGGTCCTTCTCGGTGCTTCTGGCCAAGGTACGATACCTTTGCGGCTTATTTTCGGTAAACTAGAATGGGGTCTTAATTTTGGTCTTATTTTCTGGAATAGTGCGCGTCGATTTTACTGATCTTGACGTTCAGTGGAGAAAATCAGTTCGTCTACTTCACGACATACTTGTTCATGGGTGGCATGATGTGCACACTGGTACTGCAGACGGATTTACTAAACCGCGCTATCATGGCGGGAGACACGCTCAGTGTATTCCCCATGTTCCAGTGCTTTTGGATCGGGGTACGGTCACTGGGTTACTAACGTCACTTCATCGGCATAAACTGACATCGTTATTTTGGTTTTTAGTCCAGCGTCATTGGCGGCGTGGTATTTTACGAGAAGTACACGCGCTTCTCCCTCTTCGACTGGCTCTGTCTGCCAATTGCGCTGGCCTGTAAGTTCTATATTCTGTAATCGGTACGAATCCTGATCACCTAACGCTAACTTTATCCTGATGTCTATAGTCATCATTATGGGCATCTATCTTTTGGCAAAGCACGGGGAAGGAGAAAGTGACGATCCGGATGATCCGGAGCACCCGACGCCCGGTCACCGTGCACACCTGACAGGCCACTTTGGCGCGCTTATGCCTCTCTCACCTCAGGGCCACTCGTACTCACGGACGTTCAGTCATAAAAGCTTCGACGACCGAGACAACGAGACCACTCCACTGCGGTACACACCATCCAATGGCCGGGTAATTGATCACAGCGGATACGGAGGTACCAGCGGATACACTAACGGCAACGACAAAGGTCATCGAAATGGCCATCCAGTTGGCCATTGGCATGGTCCTCAAGGTCGGAGGCACCACAGCGATGATCTAGAGGAACAACGGTTGTACTGCGGGTCTATCTAACGCCGAGACCACGCCAGTGGCACTAGTGTGCATACACTAGCAAGAAGAAAGAATAGAAGTAGGATGGAGCGTCGTTACTGGAGATGGCAGGTCCGCTTGAGACAACTGGACATGACCCAGACTACGAGACGTACGTGAACAAGTGAAATTGATGATCTGTAGTATTTGAATAATCTGTTTTTCATCGAGTTGGCATGGATAGTGTCGGAAGTGTGCTATAATATGCAACTGATTTTTTAGCCTTGGCGGTTTTTGTGAGAAAGTAAAGATTGTAACTCGATGCCTTTACGCATCGTGTACAGCCATCCTGTGCAGCGGTGAGGACGGGGCTCTCAGTGCTTCAGCGCTTAAAGCAGGAGAAGCCAGGCGAGTCAAGTTTTCATGTGGCAAATGAGCATTTCTGTAAAAAAAAAAAAAAAAAAAAAAGAGGAAGAAAAACACGACGTTTTAGACCAAAGATGTGAAAAATTAACGTTAGTATATCGCACGAACCTGATCGACGGAGTCGTGGGCCGTTCACGGCTCTTTTCGCCTGGAACGTGGTCGTAGATGTCGATGATGCGAATTGCTGCATCTGCCCCAGCCACCACCATTTTGTCATCGGAGGCAGCAAAGTCGAGAGTGAACACACCGTGACTCAAACCCGCGATAGTTCCCACAAGTTTGTTATTCGAGTCGTGGTTAAACACCTTGGCTTCGTTTGATCCACTACCTCCCGCAGCAATAAGTTGCTGGCCAGTATTCGACCTGGAGAAGTGTGCAGTGTACAGAAAGCAGGGCTCCGAGCGAATAGCACTCTGGTTCCAGGGCACAGTCGTCAGGCGCTTTCCCGATCCAAAGTCCCAGATCTCCAGTGGGTTTTCAGGACGCCACGAGCCCGTGAGGATCTCTCCACGCGTGTTCATGTCCACTGCGTCGCCTGCCACATGAGGCCCGTAGATACCACGCACAGAGTGACCCACACGTACATCCCAGATCTGAAGCGTGTTATCCCAGCCACCTGAGACGATGGTGTTGTCGTCCTCAGGGACGAATTTGATCGAGAAGACGCGATTCGAGTGGCCTGCAGTGAGAGTGCCGTGGCCACTGTCCATACACGCCACCTCTGCCTTCGTGGCTTCATCGTAGACTCGTATGGCGTGATCTTTGCCTCCCGTAGCAAACATGGCTCCATCCGCGCGATAGTCTAGAGCATACAACTGATTCTGGTTGTTGCTGATGGCGTTCAGACACTTGCCCGACGTGATGTGCCAGTGCTCCACCGACCCGTTGGAGCCTATGGTACACAAACGTAAGCAAATAGTATTTTATCTAACGAGTGTTTCTACATTTTACGCACTTGCAGCGAGCAGCACGTTTTTGGTCTTGGTGGCGCTTGTGAGAGGGCGGAATCTGATGGCCGTGCATGGTAAACCGAAGCCGAGGCTGCTTTGCGGTTGAACCAGAGTGTACGACAACTTGCCATCATGGACGTTAAACACTCGGATGGCTCCATCACCACATCCAGCAGCCAGCAGTTTCCCATCGGGTGAAAACCTTGTGCAAAAGACCTCGGACGCGCAGTCGCTGATTGTGACGCTGGGAGCCAAGCGCTTGACAGGTTCTGGGCAATATCAGAGAAAGAATCAATGATAAAGCCTTTAATTACTCTTAATACATTTGACAACTCGTGGCCATGCTAAAGTCTCCTCACCTGTCATGGTGTCTTGCAGGAAGATCGCAAAATGCACATGAAAGGACGCGTCGCTTCGTGCTCCAGCGTTCTTATTAGCTAAAAATATCCATGTTGAGCGATTTGATTGGCTGAAACAATGACAGAGACCTTAGCTGAGCACAAAAAAAACGGTAGCAACATGCTGCACAGCTTGATCTGCTGCAATGAGGCCAACTACGTGCTTCTGTCTCGGTATTTCCAGCCCGAACTGACCCTGGAAGCTCGCAGGACGTACGAGTCCCAACTGGCACAAATTTGCAAGCAGGTCCCGAACCTCTGGGGCGATCGACATGGCAAGAAAGACGCGGATCCAACACAGAGTCAACTGGTTGTGTGCGAAACTCAGTTCGTGGTCGTTCGCCAGATCGGGGAGCTCCGATTGATGCTCTCGGGCAACGAGGAGTATGACGAACTCATCTGTGCGTTCTAGTAGCATTAGGCTTAGAAAAAAATTACATTTTATGACGGATTACTTACTGTTGTTTTGAACGCTGCAGTGGACGAGATCATGACGGTGCTGCAAGCGGTGTTGACGACTCAATTGGACAAGAAACTCACCGAGGCCAGTCTGTTGGCGAATTACGCCAAGGTGGTCGTGGCATTGGATGAGATGGTGCAACAGGGTCACCTAGAGAACGCGGACGAGACTAGCATTGACCAGATGATCAAACTGAAGCCGTACCCGTCAAAGTAGACAATAATCAATCATACACGCATGCTCCGTTATTCCTTCAGCAGTTTACGCAATTATCAACGTGGTTTTCACAGTTGGTAGACAGTTGCCAGTCGCCCTTGATATTTGAAACGAAGTCTTTCGGGGATGAACCATGAAACTGCGAGTTATTGAAGCTCTGCATTCCTCTCTCATCTCCGAATTCGTGGTCATGCACGGCTCAACACAGTATCTTCAGTTCACTTCATTGAGCCAGGTTCGATGGCTAGAAACTTTGGCATCATGGGTCGGAGCGCAATACACGTTGCAGTGAGCGATATCTATCAGGCAGGGAGAGTAGAAGCTCGAACAACCACAGCCATAGGTTGGTGTAGCTGCAAGCAATCCCCATCTCCATACAGGTCAACTACAACAGGAGATCATCTTGGTCATCCGGAAGAGAAGCTAGCGGGAAAGTATTCAATGCGAACCATACATGACAAAACGGGCAAAGGAGAAGGATCAAATAACATCGGTGACTCCGTCCCGTCGATTCAGTCGATTCAAGAAGCTGAAAGATTGGTAGATAACTCCGCGTTGTAGTGCATGGAGCACATGTTCCTGGTCCGTTCGTAGGCAGGTCTTGAGCACCCCGGTGTGACACAGCGCTTTCCTATAAAGTAAGGTGTCACGTAAGTATAACGCGATGACAGCTCGTCAATCTCTGGAAGACGTACCCCCGCCGTGCGCCCAGCAAACTCCATTCGATACTGCGATGGTCGTGCATTGGTCGACACTGCAGCTGGTGCCACCTCCATGTGACCAGCATACTCCCTTCGTCTTGGCGCGATTTCGACACCCAACCACCTTACATTTCACCGAACCGCCTGTAATGATGCAGGTTAAATAATGTGTCACTATAGCCTTTTCAACAAGCTCCTCTACTCACCATGCTTCCAGCAGCGTCGCGCGTGTTTGGCTCGGCTAACGCAGCCTTCAACAATGCAGTATTTACTGCTCTACAGGGTAAACCACGAACAAGTCAGGGTCTTGTGTATTAGCAAATTGGGAGTAAGGATCAAGGTACCTTTCGTCCCGACGGCGTTGTGGCTCTGGTGGCGTTGCGTACGTCGTTCTCGTCGACGACCGGCGCCAATAAATTACTGATGCTGTTAGCGGATACCGATGGTCGCAAGCATTTGGACGCGGAAGATTCGTCCAGTTCAGCAGAGCTCGCAGTACGCTTGTCACCGGGTGCTTCGTCTAGGATAAACGATAGCGAGTTTTTAATTGAGCGCGGGGAGCTCGAGGCCGAATTTTGGCCCTCGCTCCCTGCGTTCTTGTGATGTACAGCCTCGTACATGGTGGTTTTGTGTATCTGCTGTCTATTTTGTGTGGCTTCTGGTTCTCGGTGAAAATGCTGTTGTGCTCCACCAAAACTCGTGTTGCCTGAGTGCTGATACCTGGTATCTCCACCAAGACGCAAAAGCGAAACAAAGCACTGGAGACCGAACGAGCTCTCGACTGCGCCACGATGCAAGCGGTAGAGACCGAGCAGTCCAACTCGCACAAACTCCGGAAGTGCGGAATTTGTGGGGGTGAAGCTCACCAGTTTTGGTGGAGACGGTCAATTGAACATCGCTTGTACAACCATTGCGACAGGCATTCAGCTGCATGCGTTGAAGCCGAGCTTTGTGAGGATGAGGGGGCTAACGGATCTCTCTTTGTACAAACCATGCATCACGGAGGTTTTCGTTGCTGACAAATCAACGTCAAAGTGGTAAAATCTGTGAACATTCTCCAGGTTAATATGCCGTTACAAAGGCTTTTTGGTGGACACCAGCTTCACGTGGCACTTGGCCTGCCAGCCGCATCCGAGTATCCGTTAGTAACTCGAAATGCATGATGGCCTTGTCAACTATTGTGAAGTCGGCCGTGCCGTCTCTAAAATCAAATGACAACCATGCCCTACCACAGCAACCAGCCAACCAGCTTGATCGGCAGAACCCCAGTGTCCAAACGCGGATCTCGAAAAATGGCAGAATACGCCCTTGTTGCGTCGTTCTCGTGTACACTTTATGAGTCAGACTCGAGCAAGCTGAGGCTTGCGATGTCACGGCAGGATAAGGTAAAACCAAGACGATTCTGTCCCGCAAGGCAGAAAACCGTCGCAAACTGCTCCCGTCTCCATTATCGAGACGCCACCACCATTCGTACCGGAAACTGTACGCAGACAACTGTAGTTTACTCAGTTCTGGCTGTTGCATGAACATTGCTGGCTGTTTACATAGATCGCCATTTAGCTTTGTTTGGCGATCAGCTCATGAGCCTGGCGCAGAGGAATTTTACTAACACGATTCGCTCCTGCTCTGAAGCCAGCCTATGTTTTTTCTGTCAGTTCTAACAAAGCGGATGGCCCAAGCAAGTCATGTGTAGCGTGACGGTGTAGACTCGTCACCGCACCATTTCCACAAGGCTAAGTTTGTCTACCGACGATGAGTCAACGCACTTGGCAATATTGATGGTCGTACAGTACAAGAAAAATGTACCAGTAAGGACATCAAGTTTTTTTTTCAACGTGAACGATTCGACACCAAAGATTTGGGCAGTTGAGACTCTAATGGAGCAGCTGCGAACCATTCTTGTTGTCTGCTAACGATAATAATGTGGTCGTTGTATTCCGAGTGCGGATCCTCGTCAGGCATTGCGTTATTGTCGATTTCATTTCTACTCTCAGTGGTACATGAACAGCAGTATCAATGATACTATCTTACGCATAACAGCTCGAGAGCAAGGCAGTGTCGGGCGTCTGCACTCGTCAGGCAGACCTGTCGCGCTTCGTAAAGTGGTTCTCTTGAGTGGCGCGAGTAATTGCAAGAGCGACAATGTCTTTTGCTGAGCAAGGCTCATACAATGAATACTACGAGGAATAAATTAACCGTGCTCATTTTGAATACGAAGCGAAAGCCAAGCTTGTACATGTATTATTGACGCAACAACAGTAGAGAAGACAAACGCCTCCATCAGGATGGAAACCTCACGCCAAAGGCGCGTACTGTTCACGCGCCTTGCGTTCGCGGAATTTAAATGCGATAGCAGCGACGACAGCAATACCGGCCATTACAATAAAAACGCCGAAAAGTCCAGCACTGTGATGATACGCCGGAATGCCGGTGACCGCAAACCCCGTGCCGTCGATGATAATTGAGCTTCCAATACCCGAGTATACGCTGACGTGGGGAGAGTTGCCGAACCAAGCTGCTTTGACAACGACGGTGAGTTCCGTCGGTGCTCGGGAAGGCGGGATCGATGGGCGGCGGGTCTTAAACTTGTTTTTCTTGGCCGGTTTGACATTGCTGTGCTTCCTGAAGATCGAGCTGGATACGATGCGGTGTGGAGCTGCGTTCACGTACTTTACAGAGCCGCCACCGACAGACGTTAGGGTGTCCGTAGTCTGGACGATAGCTTTACCGTCTCCAGACGTTGCCACCATTGAGTTCTTGCAGATAATAGACCCAGCGTAGACAGAGGCGTCACCACTCAGGTGAATAGTCTGATCCACACATGACCCAGCAGAGGAGTATGATACTTTACCGTCCCCCGATAGATGCGCGGAGAGCTTTTGCGACTGAAGATTGGCAGTCTCCACGAAGACCTTGCCGTCACCTGAGATTGCAGAGACCATCGAGTTAACAGTAATACGATCCGTTGCCGCAATGATCGCCTTACTATCTCCTGATAGAGATACAGAGATAGTATCAGCTTGAATCGACGAGGCCAGGAATTGCACATGGCCGTCGCCGGAGCTAGCGATGTTGATGCTTTTCAGCGAAAAATGGTCTTGTGTCAAGGAGCCGACGTAAATGTCAGCCTCCCCGCTCGTTTCAATCTCCAGACTGGCAGACGGATCATTACTCACCACGACGTCTTCCCCGACAACGACGCTGTCTGCGTGCGCGGCACTCACACTAGAAAGCGCGTTCCGGTCGCTCACAATGATCTGCATCACTACGTCGCCTACGACGCGAGCGTTCGTGTTTTTGTAGTGAATACGGACCCCGTTACCGTCAGCATCATGGACAGTGACGTCCACTAGACCCACCAAGTCCGGTGAGCTACTGCGCATGATCACCTGGGCTGCCACAGCGCCACCAGCAGCGAGCGACGCGTCATAGTCCACGAACACATTACCCGCGACTTGGACCTTCAAGTCGTCGAGAATGTCGCCAGATTCACCATGTACAGTCCAAATCTTCTCCAGGAATGGACCATTGGTGTGTGCGGCGTCTGCGGACGTGACGGATAGAACTCCATCGACGACTGACTGGGACAGCGCAATGGCGAGAGCAGTGGTCAGCGAGGAGTATTTCATCACAAGGTTGGCTCTGGTGCTTGAGGATGGTCCAGTTCTGAGCTGTAGACTGCAAATTGTGATGTGTGGCGAAAAAGCGTGCCAAGACAGATCGTAAGTTGAAGTTCAGCATACATTCTCTGCTGTACTACATTCATTCCTCTGTTCCAATCCCTAAGATCAGTGCAAGCGCACGTCTAGCACGCGCCAATTCATCGCGCGATCAACGCTTGTCACGCTTTACTAACTGCGGGAAGGATCGCAAGTTCTGTGGATGTTCTCGTTGTATTCTTACATGTAAACTCGTCTGCCTGCACCCACAAGTGGCTGTCGCTGTTCCTCCCGAGCTCGACGGCGAGACTCGTTGAACCAGCGCAGAGCCAACGCCACCAGGAACACTACGGCTGCGAGATATACGATATTACTCTGGTCAATTGTCACGTGATAGCTAAACTCCTCGCCAACGCTGCCTCCTCCCGAACTGGACGAGGCTTCTACGGTATCTGTCGGCTTTAGAGGGAATTGTTTGGCTGTGCATCCCGACGGATGATACGCGCTTGACACTGGTGATGCAGTCACGAGACCCATGTAGTTGACGTTGTCAATAGATTTTGGTGCGTTGCCGTAGTATTTCAAGTGGCCGCTTCCGTACACATCACCTGACAACGTACCAGTTGCTTGTACGACGACATTGCCGTTACCCAACAGATCCACATTGACATTTTTGCATTGAATTCCACCCGCGTCAACTGTACCAGGTCCAGTTGTCGACAATTTCGCGTCTTGACATGATCCTCGTGGCCCAAGTGAAACATCTCCAGCACCAATTTTCTTGATGTTCAATTGGTTAGTATCAATGGAGGAGCCGGCAGTGAGACACAAGGACCCGGATCCTTGCACACTCACGGCTAGAGAGTCTGTTGCAGCACTTGACTCAACAATTACAGTGGCGTCGGCTGAAGAAGATACCTCTACTGATGCTGTTTTGACCTTAACTTCGGAGAAGGAGGCTTGTAGACGACCACTGCCTTGAGAGCTCAGGGTCAGATCATCTACAGTGATCGTTGACGCCGTTAGTGAAACGTCTCCACTGCCTAGGGCGCTGACTGTCAATCCTGGTCCACTCGTTACCAGCACACCGTCATGCACAGCTACATTCCCTGAGCCCTGGTTCACGACTTGGTGCACTCGTTCCTTGCGTAACAGCACCACATCCAGATTTCCCTCTTTTGCAGAAAGCTCTAGAACCGGGAGACCGTCAATCATCATCAGCTGATCCACCAGACTGTCAGACTCCTTCGCGCTAACTCGAGCCACGTCGCCATTCCCAGCAGTAAGCGAGTTCTCGTATCGGAGCACGACGTCGTCGCTACCCGTGACGATGACGACGAAATTTTGACCTTCGTCACAAAGAGAACCGCCTGGGGTGCAGTGCACAGTCCAGTACGAGACTGCATCGTCGGAAATTGTGTCGTTCATCTATACAGCGTCCTCGATGGAGAAAGAGAAGTGTGGAATGGCTTCCAGTCTACCAGTTGATGATTTGACATCAATCGCTTGTACAGTACTGCACCCCGTTTTCGCACCCTAGGACCTTAGATAAACTTCCGGATATAATGCTCCTTTTGCTAAAATATTCCCAGGTTGCTTTTCTGAAACCTGATGTAATTGCAAACCCTATATTATCCAACTCCATGAAAAATGGAGTGCATTACTGTACTATAGTATCAGTGGTAGCACAATAGCAGCGGTAAAAAATTTACCACACACAGGAATCCACAACGATGTTTTCCCTTCATGAAGTTTCAGGGCTCTTGTCGTATTTGAACTGACAAGAAATCTACATCTGATGCTTAAAATCTACAGAATCTCTAGGTCACATGTCAATAAAAAACGCAACACCGGACAACCCTCGCTTCAGATTCACCAGAAAAAAAAATGTAGAACCAGGAACTAGATCAGTGGATTTAGCGGATACAAAAAACAATTATACTTTCATTTTGCTACTGTACTCCAAGTTGTCTTGACCGAGCTTAGTCATGGCAACAGCGTCTGGTACTTATTACGGATCCGACGTTGCTGGAACTTGAACACGGACACCGCAACGAATGCCATGGCACCAATTGCGACTTCGAAGAGGACCAATGCACTCATACTCTCTGGCAACGACGCGCTCAAGTTTTGCAGTCTCATTCCTGTCGCAACGGCTGGCCGTACGTGAATATAGGGACTATCGTCGTTATTGGCGGCTTCGACTGTCAGGAAGACAGCAGTGGCAGCTCGATTGGGTGGGGTAAGAGGGGAATACTTCGCTATGGGGTTGGCCTGAGCTTGCTTGATGCTACTTTCCAGCACCAAACCTGACGATTGAATGGACTTAGGGCGGGTATTCACATACCTGACGGACCCAGTGAGCAGTAGCGTGGCCGACAGACGTTCAGTAGCTTGGACTACCACTTCTCCAATACCGAGAATACTGACATCGGCGTTCTTACACACAATCGATGCTGCGTTCACAGAACCTTCACCTGCCAGGCGAATCTTCTCACTATTGCATGTTCCTTCAGTTGCGTACGAAACTTCTCCGTTTTCAACAATTTCAGTTACGAGCGTGTCAGCTTGTAATCCAGGAGTCTGCACGAAGACTTTACCAGTCCCCGCAACGGCAGACTCCACCTTGTTGGCTACGAATTTGTCCTCAGCAAGGACAGCAACGTGACCAGCTCCAACCAAGGAGAGGACCACATCCTCTGCAACTTTAAGTGATGCAGATTGGAATTGAATGCCGCCGTCCCCAGAGACAACGACGCCTACTGATCGCACATCAAATGAGGCGGTGGTCGACCCGACAAAAATGTGTCCTTTGCCGTGTGTGGAGAAGTGCAGTCTTGCAGTCTTGTCGCCAAGCACGACATTGTCTCCGAGCACCACGTTCTGAGTGTTGGTAGCGCTGACAGCGAGCAGGGATTTCGGTTTGCTTAGCAGGACTTGAGTCATTACGAGACCTTCGACGTGTACCTGTTGGTTCTTGTAGTGCAGACGGACGCCGGTATCGCTGTCTCCGCCAATGTCCGTGACGTCCACAGCGTCTAGCAGCTTTGACGAGCTTGCATGCATCACAACTTTCGCAACTACTTGAGCATCGGATTGCAGTGAGGTGTCATGATCCACGAATACGTTGCCAGCCACATGAATCTCGAGCTTGTCGAGGCTGGCAGCGGAGACTGTCCACGTCTTTTCCAGCAGTTCCGGAGACGCTGGATCCGTGGACGTTGCAATATCTGTGGACGTGACATCGGCTGATGCCATTTGAACCAGAAGCAGCATCTGGAAGAGAGCGAGGACAGTTGAAATGCGCTTCATGGCGACAATTGCGAAGTGATCATGCACCAATTTGTTGGAATTTCTTGTGTGGTATTGGGAACTATGATATCGCATGTGAGGAACTGTGGTATAACATATTTTTTAATAATCGTGCTTTTGAGAATGATAGTAATCTGAGCATCATTCTGCGTGATTACACAAACGCTTTAAGAGCAGTTTTAGGATTGACTTGCGTTTGTAGGACAAATGTGCGCTTGGAATGTTTAGACTGAAGAATGGTTTTGGAGATCACGGTGTAAGAGCACCCACACTCGTTGGCGTCTGCATGCGCCCAATCAAACGATCACTACATGTACTTGCATCTCTGTGTCTATACTACGAAGGTAACAGCAGATCCACTGGAAATTTTGGGTAAATACACCACGCCAAGCATTGCTCGTGCGGAGGAAGTGATCGACCAGAGTATCAACTCCAGAGCGAACTTCTCCTCTAACGGGAAGTTCTCTTCCCTTTTCAGACTTTACAGCCTCACTGACAATGAGCAGCAAGTTGCTGCCACAGTAACAGTGAGTGATCCGTGTGCACTTCAACCGGCAGTTGCCTTTCAAGTCTGTTCGCTTTTTCAACCAACCAAATTGAAACTGTCGCGATCTTGGATATGATTCGTTAATTTTGTAAGGGGATCGGTTTTGAGACTGCCTTGTCAACTGTATGAGTCGCTGGCAGCGATGGAGATTCTGTCGTCTACCAGCGCAGCAGGCATGGAGATCAATGTCACTATAGCGTCCAAGTCGCGGATTCCACACTGGTTGGTGGTACAATGCGAGGCTGGTAGCAGCCCGTCTTGCGATGCGCAACGAGTGGATGCTGTGAATGTCCACGGGAGTCACGACGTCTTCATCCGCTATGAGGAACCAAACAGTGATGTTAGTGGAGACAATAACGTTGCAAGAGTGAGGGTCATTAAGGGGGACGTCCATGACCAAAAGGACATTCTAGTGCTGCTCAGGATGATGAGCGAACTCCTCACGTTGGACATTACAGCGCCCAGGAAAACTGTGGAAGTCGTGCTATCACAGCAGAATACACTGCAGCGAGTGACCAATCAAGGGTCTGGAGACGTAGTGGTGGAGGACAACGTATTGGCCACAATGGGGCCGAGTTTGGCCATCGCTACAGTTGGCAGTGGGGATCTGTTCGCAACTTCCACTCAGACGGTGAAGGTGGACGCCTTAACGCTGAACTCTAAAGGAAGTGGACAACTGCAGACAAGGTTCTCGGAACTCCGAGTGTCTAAATTTCGACTTGAGTATTTCTCCTCTGGGGACACTACCGTATTCGTTGAGTCCGAGAGTGACGTCGACAGTTTGACGTTGATAGCGGAGGGATCTGGCGACGCGTGTTTGAGTTGGACCTCACCAATGTCTGTCAATTTTCTCGAGGTGGAACAAGTTGGTTCGGGTGACGTTTCTGTCGGGCCACAAGGCTCTTGTCAGTCTGCAAAGCTGTCGATGCAAGGCTCGGGTGAGCTTGATCTTGGCGGCGTGCAGTGTGGTATGGTGGATGTGGATTTGATGAGTAGTGGCAACGTCGTCGTTAAAGCTACTGATGCGTTGACAGTTGAGGCGTACGGTAGTGGCCACGTCAAGTTCACTGGTACAGCTCCTCATGTGATTACCAGCACGGGTTACAGCCAGCTTGGGCCGGAGCCTGTTCAAGGTTCTTATCTGCCTGCTAACTGTAAGCTACACAAGATACCGGTTATTAAGTCAAAGTACACTGCGATCTCGAGTGGCGTATTTGCTTCAGCAGAACTGGATTCAGCTGAGAGCAGCTCTTCCGTGTCTGTACGGACCGATACTGCAGCTGTGTGGGACGGCTTGAGCCGCGACAAGGAAAACCTTCTTCCTCTAGCTGGAGTTGTCTTTCTCGTGGCCATGATCCTCCGCTGGTTCAACCACTCTCGCCGTCGAGCTCGAGAGGAACAACGTGAACCGCTGCTTGGAGCCCAGCGACGCGTGTATGTTTGATAAAGTGATGTCAGAATTCCACATTCAAGGATATGTGAAGAATTAAGAATTGAATAAAGGCGGAATAACCGGCCATGAAGCTAAATGAACGCTGTATCAAGTCAAAATCTATTTCCGTTACTAGTTAACCGACCGTTGCGTCCACTCAGATAGTAACCTCCATATTGGTTTCGATCCGACCCTGCGACTTCAGTCTCAATCGTACCGTGGCGAGCATGATCAAGGACAAAGTGCCTCCCAGCGTACTCTGCGGCTCTCGCCGTCGCACACCAGAGATGGTGGGGCTTGTGCTGCTGTTAGTGACCGCGTTCTCGATGGTGGGACGAGTTGTGGATATTTCAAGCCGCAGTATCTCGAATCCAGAACTCAGCGTACCAGGAGGTAGAAACGACGTTCGACAAACGCTACGGCTACAGCGGCAGCAAGAACTCCAGACTCTGATCACACAACCGACCCGGGCTCCGCATGTATACAACAACCAGGATATCAAGAGCAAGTGCTACAAGCAAAGAGATGTCGGTATCATTCCATCAGTACGCCAAGCCGCCAAGAACTTCTGCATGAATGGAGGATGGGACAAAGAGAAGCAACAGCCTGTTAGTCCTAGCAAGGCTACAAAGATATCGACGTATCGAGTTCCAGGAGGCATCAGGAGCGCCACGTTTCAGAATCTCATGTTGGATCTGATCGACGTCAAGATCAATTCACCTATTGAGAGTATGGCTCAAGACGGCGGCAAGCACGACCCAAGATTTAACTTCAACCCGCGGTTGATTAACTGCGCGTGCGATGAATTTGCTGCCTATTTCAGCGGTCTACCGGGCGATAAGGAACGTCGAGGTGAACAGGTATGGCAGCCATCACTCATGCTGTTCCCGGATAGTGGCATCCCCTTGTCGAGTATTTGCTCATTAGAACGTCCCAAGAACACGAGTCGCTCGGCGTGGGATTTCGTTAAGAACCCGTTACAAGCACCAGATAACAACGAGACGGTTATATTCGAGGACCCGGTGGTGCTAATTGCTCGCCGTGACGACCACAACCCGTTCTTCCAGATCTCGTACGCTCTCAACTCGTGGATCATGCTCCAAGCTCTTGGCTGGGACGTCACTAAAACCCATCTGATTCACTTTGACGGTGGCTATCCTTCACCCATTGACGAACTGCACCAGGGACTCTTGTCTCCAAACCATAAGCTTATTGATGGATCCACGCTTATGGGTAAGCGTCTGCACTTCCGTGGTGATGTAATGATCGCACCGTATGAACTGTCGGGTCCAATGATGCAACACCTGGATAACGATGAACCGTGCTTTGATTCAGAGTTGTTTAAAACATTTCGCTCCCAAGCTCTGCTGACATTGGGCATAACACCACAGATAGAACGCAGCATCGGCTTGACTGCCATTCGCCCTATGATCGTGACCGTGATCACCCGTCGCCCGTACGGTGGACGTGTGCTGCAGCGCGTGTGGCTTAACGAGGACGAGATCATGGACAAAATACGAGCGAAGTACAGAGATCTGAACGTGGAGTTCCGCTCAGTGGAATATGTGAATTTGACTCTAGCCGAGCAGATGAAGACCACCATTGAGAGTGACATGATCATCAGTATGCATGGCGCTGGCTTGGTGAATGTGCTCTGGGCGCGTCCGATGACGATGGTATTGGAGATTTTCCCAAAGCAGCGATTCCGCTGGGGATACCGCAACTTGTGTCAGTTTGTCGGCTGCAATTGGCACCAATTCCGCGGTGGCGAAGACGTTGGTGAAAATCCGGTTCCTAACACCAAAAGCAAACGAATTCCTTACGACGAGTGGATGCTCTTCTTCACGCCGCTCTTCAATAGTAGCTATGGTGCATTTCAGAAGCAGCAGACGGTTCTGCGTGGAGAATCGTCATAGTCTTCAATCTTTACAACTGATAAACCCTTTCCATTGGTACGTACTTACGTCGTAGTAGTTTGTTACTGCTTTCCGCATTTTTACCCTGGCGTATGTCGGTTCGGACTGCGGATATTGCAGAATAAAGCCAAACGTTTCCATTCGCCATGACTTTTACTACCACTGATATAGTAGTTTTCATAAACAGCATCGCTGCGTCTAATGGCACTGTGTCATTATTCCAAGCCAACCTCAACTCGCTGCCTACAGTGTATTTTTGCTGCTTGGTTCAACCAAGTTAATCTCGCTGCTCGACTGTCGTTCAATTGTAATTGTAAAAAATCTCAAGAACACTCGCCAACGTGGAAGCCATCAACCGAACCACCAAGAGTTTACCTGCCACAATCCTCACCTGTCCATGATGCCGTGCAAGATGGTGTCGGGGCTTGATCTCGACCTTCGTGCCAAACACATCGAGCTGCCGCCCGGTCCACGTCGATCGTCTGGTCGCGATTAATCATCTTGATGCACTCTGATTGGCTATAAAAAGAGTTTCTACCAATCGCAACCCGACACATCTGACCAAAAGTCTACCCGAGCCAATTCCGCATCTGTGCGCTGGGTCCTCAGTCAGAATTCCGTCGCTCTCCCCGCCCCCCGCCATGCCCAAGGACGACGCGGCGCCCTCCACGGCCGTGTCCGTATCTCCCACTACCTTGTGCGGACCACGACGACGTCTACTGCAGACGCTGGCACTCGTGCTGTTGCTGCTGGGCGCGCTCTCGATGGTTGCTCGTATCGTAGACTTATCGGCCGCCACGAGCAGCTTCCGCACCAGCGATAAGAGCCAATCAGGACTCAGCGTGCGGGGACCCACACGTCACAGTGGCTATCAGCAACAGGCAGCTACCAGCGTCAATAGCACTTCAACCGCTGGGCAGACCACAACGACCAACACTCCTGTGGCAACTACTACACCTCCTCCGGTGACGCAGCCGACTGTGGAGCAACTCAAGAAGCAGGAGCAACTCAAAAGCCTCGTAATACAGCGCACCAAGGCACCGCACGACTATAGCAGCGTGGAAACCAAGAACAAATGCTACGCACAGCGCGATGTAGGCATCATCGCCGCAGTGCAACAGGCTGCAAGGAATTTCTGTGCCGACGGAGGCTGGGACAGCGTGAAACAAGCTCCCGTAAGCCCCGAGAAGGCCACCAAGGTCTCCACGTTCAGAGTGGCCGGAGGTATCCGCAGCGCCACGTTCCAGAACCTCATGCTTGACCTCGTGGAGGTTGGGATCCATGCGCCTATTAAAAGTATGGCGGAGGACGGCGGCAAGCACGACCCGAGGTTTAACTTCAACATGAGGCTGGTCAATTGCGCTTGTGACGAGCTGGCTAATCATTTTAGAAAGCTACCGGGGGATAAAGAGCGCAAGGCAGAACAGATCTGGCAACCATCACTAATGGGATTTCCAGAAGAGGGTGTCCCAATGTCGACCATTTGCTCTCCGCGGAAACCGGAAAATACCAAACGATCAGCGTGGGATTTTGTGAAAAACCCATTGCAAGCGCCGGATAATAACGAGACGGTGGTATTCGAAGACCCAGTGGTGCTAATTGCTCGCCGTGACGACCACAACCCGTTCTTCCAGATCTCATACGCTCTCAACTCGTGGATTATGCTTCAGGCTCTTGGCTGGGACGTCACTAAAACCCACGTGATCCACCTGGACGGTGGCTATCCGTCTCCGATTGATGCCTTACATCAAGGTCTGTTGGCGCCCAACCACGAAATTATTGATGGTGCTACTCTTATAGGAAAACGTGTGCATTTCCGTGGTGATGTAATGGTAGCCCCGTTCGAATTATCTGGGCCCATGATGCAACATCTGGATAACGAGGAGCCGTGCTTCGAGTCGGAATTGATGAAGACTTTCCGTGCCCAGTCTCTCTTAACATTGAACGTGACCCCAGAAATGGAACGCGAACTCGGCGTCACTACGGTCCGTCCTATGATCGTGACGGTGATCACTCGTCGGCCGTACGGTGGACGTAAGCTACAGCGGATGTGGGTGAATGAGGACGAAGTGATGTCAAACATGCGGATTGAGTACAAGGGTCTAAATGTCGAGTTCCGATCTATCGACTACGTGAACTTGACGCTGTTTGAGCAGATGAAAACCACGATCGAGAGCGACATGATCATTAGTATGCACGGCGCTGGACTCGTGAACGTCATTTGGGCGCGTCCGATGACTACAGTAGTGGAAATTTTCCCCAAGGAGCGATTCCGCTGGGGCTACCGGAACATGTGTCAGTTTGTGGGCTGCGACTGGCACGAATTCCGTGGCGGGCAGGATATTGGAGACAATCCTACACCCAACACAAAAAATAAGCGCATTCCGTACGACGAATGGATGTCGTTCTTCCATCCACTATTCCGCCAATCCTATGGCGCTTTTGAGGAGCAACAAGCAGTTTTACGTGGAGAAGCATCGTAAAAATCCAGTCCATTATTTGTATGGAACCGTATCCTCCAGCACCGTTTTCACAGCAGACAATTAACGCCGATAAAACGAGCTATGCAAGTGTCGGTTTACTCCAGAGAAGCAAACAATGCGAATTAGTGATCTCAAGTGAGCCAGGAGCTGGAGTTCTCGTAAAATTTGTGGGTGTTGAAAGTGAGGAATGAATCGTTGCTCCTTTCTAAATGTAACAAAGTTCCAAGAAATCATTTTTGTGCAATTATTTTATTTTTCAGTGGTAATTATTTAGGATTCTGGAGTACTCTGTCACGAGTTATGTGTATGCGCTAGCGTTGTAGCATCTGAATTGGCGGCAGTATCTTGGTCTACCTCAAAAATGAAGGTATCTGGAAATTTAGTAGTGGTGCTGGTGGCACTGAGTATTGTGGCTGTGCACCTGTGTGATGTACTGCTTCTCCTCGAAGTGCAGCGTGCAGAGGTGGTCGGTACGCTCGTAAGCGGGACGAGCACAGCCCTCCATCGCGCAGCGCTTGCCACCGCCGTGGGCCCAGCAAACACCGTTTGAGACGGAGATAGTTGTGCAACCACGGAACGAACAGAGAGTGCCACCGCCGTGTGACCAGCAGACACCTTTGGTCTTGGCGCGGTTAGCGCAGTCCGGGACCTTGCACTTGACGGAGCCACCGTGGCGCCAACAACGGCGTGCGTGCTTTGCGCGACTCGTGCAGCCCTCGATCATGCAGTACTTGCTGCCCTTCTTGACGACGGTGCCGTTGACCAGCACAACTCCAGCCTTTCCTGATACTTTTGTACTCGCATTGGACGCGCTGACGTTCTGGAGAGGACGCCGCTTTGCGATCTTGGAGGAACCCGTGGGCGGTGCCATGATCGGAGAGAACGTCTTGCTGGATGATCCTCGCTGTGGTGATGCCCACGGGAACGAGGGCAACAATGCTGGCGTTGTGCTGACCTTATCGCTCGAGAGGATAAAGTCGATCGAGCACTTGTTGACCGGCTTTGTCGGCTTGATACCCAGCAACTGTGGCATCTCGACGAAGGTTGGCTGCGAAAGGGGCAGGAATGTGCGGAAGGACATCATGGTGGCGATGTATCGGGTGTTTGTACTCCTGGTGGAGAGTGAGAAAATTGAGATGTGGGACTTCGGAGCGGAGGGTCTCAAGTTCACCGAGAGCCTTTGGGGGTTTACTCGTACCTACCTACCTACCTAGTAGCCGAAAAGGCTCAGAAGCCGTTACCAGGAGAGAAATATTCCACTTGACATGCGTCACCCGTTGCTCCCGTCCTTTTTGTATGCGCCTGGCCTAGATGGTGTCATAGGGTCAGCACTGCAGCAACCGAAGGAACTGACAGTCCGACCTTGTGATGGAGCATCATATTCGACAACATCGTGCTGCACAATAAGCACTAGCAGCATAGTACAGTTATTGAGTGTAATTCTAGCAGTGTAATGCAATAAATATTCCTGGGATGCAACTCATTACTCCTAAGATTTGTTGTTCGGACTGCAGCGTTCATTCCTTTTAGTTGGGTCAGTTTCTGACGCGCCGACTGCTGATCTTCCGGACCGTTTTCCCTGCTCAGCGGCGGTGGCAATCCAGGATGGCGCCTGCATGAGGGCGGACCAGGAGACTTGCCTCTATGCACGTTGCACTCGAAGGGGCACGAAACTGAACTTGAAGTCGAGTACCCAGTACCACTCTCATCGTCGAATCGTACATAAACTGTCAAATTTTGTGTCAAGTGTGGACTTAATTTTAATCTCCAGTACTTGATTTTGAAAGGAACCTCACGGAGGAGCGATTTTTTTTTGGTACTGATCATACTTTATTGCTTTCAAAAAGCGCTTGAACATATGCACATTTTGCTTCACTACACCTATTTCCGGTCGAAATGAGAGGATTACACCGTATTGGTGACCAAATTGTTGATCACGTCAGTAGTGTAGCAGTGTGAAAGCACTCATTTTATTAGACATGACTTCACTAATGACTCAGACAATGGAGACATGATGATCATCACGCTCGCAGTCCCATGCATCACTGCAGCATTCCCACACGCACATTTAGTACATTTTTATGAACATGGCTCACATCCCAATTTCAACGTTAAAATCGAATAAGCAAGCATTTTATAGTCCTTCCCGTATTTCGGCTGTCAACTCCAGCAAGAAACGATCTTTTCGGTCGAGGGCGTATACCATCGACGCTGCTGATATCGTCGATCCGTAGTGACCTTTCCTCGTCGTGCCAAGGCAGGCAGTTTCTGATGCGCCGACGAAGTGGTTTCCTGTTCAGACAGCTAGGGCGGACCAGGTAAGTTCAGCGGTGGCAATATGATGCGTCGTTTCGCGGCTAACATTGCACGTGATAGATCAGGAAGCAAGCCATGTTGAATGTCACAGTCGTGCTATTGTGCACTGCCTTGGACATTTGGACAAGTCGGATGGCCTGGCGTTGAGTTGTACAAGCCACGAAAAACCAGTGATTCATTTTCGAATCGGAAATTCCGATGCATTTCTGTCCTGCACGAGAAAATTTCACTGTGCTGTGGATCGAGACGCGTGCTGTTACATGTAAATGCTTGGATGCTTTTTCGTTATCTGCGCCCTTCGTAAATGAAACATCGGGTCAGGAAGAAGCACACGGTGCCTGTCGACGTCCAGTCGAAAATCGAAGAATAAAGATGCACGAACGCACTTTCAGCAGACAACGGTCACCCGAAGCGGCGCACCGGAGGACAAGAAGTACCGTGCATGTCAAGGAGGGGCGGAACATGGCTGACTGGCGTACAATACGTACCTCATTCTATACAGATCACTTTTTGCTGCACCTCTAGAGATTCATCCGTGAATGTCTGCGAACTACGGGTGAAGAAACTTTGCACGCTAAGCCAGGATAGATGATAATCGAGCACTTTAACAGTTACGATACCTCTCGGGAGCTCACTGTGTTCGTATAGTGTATGCCGCTCTTAACATAGGATATCATACTTGACAGTCGCTTTCATCAGCTCAAGATCTGCCGGGCCGTCAACACTGGTGTGTTGGTCTATCCGCAATTGACGTGGCTGTAGAGAGCTCAGTTGTGGAGGTGCTCAGTTCGGACGACACTTGACTCAATAAGCGCGAAAGGTTGCGTTGCACTTAAAGATCTATTAGATCTTTATTACGCTTTCGTGGCGTTGCGGCGTATTGCAATCCAGCGCGGGCTATCAAAGGCGTCACCAGGCGCCCCAGCAACGCTAGTCAATCTCCCCAATGTCGAATGCGCTGCGCCTTTCACACAGTAGAAAAATCGGTGGCGCATGGCAGCACTTAAGGAACTCTACCCAAGCGCGTCAAAGTCCAGCTCCTTGATGGTATCTACTTCTCAACAGTTCGACGATTGCACTGATGAAGTCAGCAAAAAAAAATTTGGAGACGAAATCGGTTGAATTCACAGCAAAAATGCAAGAAACATTATTATCGGAAAACTTCGCGCTATCTAGTTGTAACGGCTGTCCTTGGCACTTTACTCCGACTTCGGAAAGATATCCTTGTACTTGATCATCGCATCCTTCCAGTGGGTCGGCTTGCGGCCCGTTAATTTCTCCACGGCATTCGACGCCGGCATCATGCATCCATTAGCAACCATCTCACCGGAACACAGCAGATCACCAATACACAACTTCATCGGAAGCTGCGAGAAATCACCGTACACGTCCTTGGGAAGGCCACGGTCCAGCCACCATTTCTTCAGCTCCTCATCGGTCATATCCACCAACTCTCCCTTGTAGCCAACTTCACTGCTCATGAAGTCGAAGATTTCTTCGTGCGAGACGCCGCCACCGCCCGTGACTTCGTAGACCGTGTTTGGTTCACCCCGGCCGAGAAGCAAGGCTCCCAACACACGACCACAGTCGTCACGGGACACGTAGCAGCCCTTCTGGCCGTGACTATTGGTCAGCCACTTGTCACCGCAGAATTTCCACGAAGGAGCGAAGTACATTGGAATGTTGTCCGCGTACAAGCAGTTTCTTTGGATGTTGTACTGCAGACCGGACGCGTAGACCAACTGCTCGATGTAGTGGTGGTCGCGAAGCAGATAGGGGATGTCCTCCTCCGTCTTTGCTTCCACGCCAGCACCAGCCCCCGACGTGTAGCAGAAGCGCTTGACGCCCATTTCCTTCGCCACTTCGAGCGCGTTCTTGATCTGGTTGCGGCGACGGTCTCCGATCAGCCACGTCGAGATGGTCGCAACGGCATCTGCACCTTTGAACGCCTTTTTCATACTCTCTCGGTCGTCGTAGCTGGCAGACACCACCTCGACGCCCTTACTGCGCCAATGGGCTACTTTCTCGGCAGGGATCTTGTCCAGACTGCTGCTGGCGAACACCAGGTGGTCCTCTGGTTTCGCGATCTCAACGGCGAAGTCGGCCGCGACACCGCCAACGTTACCACCAGCTCCCATCAGAACGTACTTGACCATGATGCTTGTGCTTGTCGTAAAGTGAAGTGAGGAGGCCTTAGATCAAGCGCACGTGGATACGTGCCATAAGGCTTATCGGTACGTGGCACGTACTACGTGTGGGGCCTGCAGAGCATAAGAATGGCCGCCAAATCTTATTCCCTTTCCGCCGGGAACGTCTCCGGACAAAGATCGGATCTTGTCGAATGAGCGAACAGACTGCAAACACCCCAACAAGAACTCCACGTGTCGCTATTGCCACCACAGTTCTACCGATTTTTTCACGAACAAACTCTGAAGTTGGACACTGTATTATTCTAGTATGTTTGTCGATTCTTGTGTCTCGAAGAACTATATCTTCACATTTACTCGGGCTTGGGGAAGATGTCCTTGTACTTGAGCAAGTAGTCCTGGTAACGAGCGGGCTTGCGTCCCGTCAGCTTCTCAACGGTGTCGGACACGGAGTTCATGGCCCCGTTACCCAGCATCTCACCGCAGCAGATAGCGTCGCCAATGCACAGCTTCATAGGCAGCTGCGAGAAGTCTCCCGTGGCCATGTCGGTGGGCAGACCGCGGTCGAGCCACCACTTGGTGAGCTCCTCGTCGGGCATGTCGACGTACTCGCACTTGTAACCGGTTTGTTGGCACATCCACTCCATCAGATCCTTCTGTTGGACGACCTCGGGGCCAGTCACATCGTACACCGTGTTAGGCTCACCACGACCCAGGATCAGAGCAGCGAACACACGACCGCAGTCCTCACGTGCGACGTACGCGCCAGGCACACCGTGGCTGTTGGACAACCACTTGTCACCGCAGAACTTCCACGACGGAGCGAACAGGGTCGGGATGTTGTCCATGTACAGCCAGTTACGCTGGATGTTGTACTGCAGTCCAGACTCCTTGACCGTCTTCTCCACGAAGTGGTGGTCACGCGGCAGGAATGGGATCTCCTCCTCCACGTCAGTCTCGCAGCCAGCACCAACGAACGAAGTGTAGCACACGCGCTTGACACCGACGGCCTTGGCAGCGGCACAGACGTTGCGGGCCTGGTTACGACGACCGTCGCCGAACAGCCACGTCGAGATGAAGCCCACGGCCTCTGCACCCTCGAACGCCTTCTTCATGCTTTCAACATCGTCGTAGGTGGCTTCCACGACCTCCGCGCCCTTGGCACGCCAACCGGCAACGACGTCTTCAGGGATCAACTTGAGGTTGTAGCTGGTGAGCACAAGTTGATCTTCCGGCTTAAGGATCTCAAGAGCGAAGTCGGCGGCGATACGGCCAAGGTTGCCATCCGAACCGGTGAGGACAAACTTAGTCATGGTAGAT